TAAATAATTATGTCATGTGAGATTCGGAAAGAACTTCCCGTCACCAAACCGAAAAACACTATAGAACTACGCTAGCAGGAGGGTTATTCATCATCCATTGATGATCTCTCTATAACTGGCACCGGGAACCCGTGTTTCATATCCTTTGCTGGCCAATCGTAAGTTTTGTTGATTAGCTCGTCGTATTCAACCGAATAGATTTGTTGGCGTATAAACATGTCCTTAAATAGAGGTTTTCAAGCAGTAAAATATTAAAAAATGGAAATTTCAGTAAGAAATTATGAAATTTCCTACTTATATGTACCTATCTTTTTCCTATTTCTTAACATCTGGGAAAACTACCATAAAAGATCAAAGGGATTTTACATAATACGACGATAGATAAATGTAATATATTTTAAAATGAATGATCGTTTAATAATTTTGAAAATTTTGAAATGTGAAAGGTGAGAAAAAATTATAAAAGAGCAAACCTTGTTTTCTGGTTCTGGATGAAGTGTTGCTAAATTCTGCTCGTATAGGTAATTTCCAACCTAGAAAATTAGAAAATACCGCTATGATTGCAAGAACTTAAATGAGCAGCTTACATCCTTTGCTATAAGAACGGAAAGTTCTCGGATGTCCTTGAGACGAGGGTAGAGACGAGCGTAATTTTCCAAGGATTTATCGCTGACAAAGCTGGCGCAACGCTAAAAATGGTAAGTTGGCAAAGATTACAATACTATACTAACATCATGAGATTTAGGAGAAATAGAAAACATGGAAGAATATTAAAAAATTTTCATTAAAAGTTGGGGCTCAACCTTTTTTATCCAAAACTGCTAAATGAACCCATTACACACTTAGAAATTATCAGTGGCTTCTGAAATATTCTTGAAACTCACTCGTGCAGCTAGAAGGAAAGCCATTTCTGGTATGTGTTTCGCTTTGAAAAGTATGGCTCCCAACGCTACTCCTGGGAAGATGTAGGCATTGTTTCCTTGCCCAGGTTTGTATATTCTACCGTCAAGTTCAACATTTTCGAATGGAGAACCGCTTGCGAAAAGGACGGAACCCTGAAATGTAGATAAATTTGATTTGGGACATAAACCTACTTAAGTATTCATTTTAACATTGCAAATTAAAGATCAAATGATTTTTATAGATGGGAAAGAAATACCATCTGAGTAACTCATTGAATAGAAAAAATGCAGAGAGTTGTCAGAAATGTGACGAAGGTTTTGAAATTTTTATCTTCAAGATCTCACTCTGGCCAAATTCTTCATTTAAAATAAATTAGTTTTGCTCACATTTGTCATCCGATAAGCATCCTCAGCTGTGCATTCGGCTTTACTTGTAGGGTTTGATAGGGCAAAAATGATTGGTCGCTTATTGATACGAGCCATTTCCGAAATAATCTCACCCGTGAAGACTCCACCTACCGTACAGGCGCCTAAAAATGGCGAGATTAGGTGTTTGATGTTGCAACGAA